AAAGTACTCCATCAATTCCAAATTATAAGATATTTTGGCTTTTCTAGATACATAACTTTTACTATGCACTTAGATATATAGTAAAAGCAATATATTTAGAAAAAAAGCCAAAACAATTTATAAGTTGGAACCGGAGAGTACATGGCAATACAAGTCACTTAAGGTTCGATCCCTTGACTGGTAGGAGGTGGCACATCACCAAAAGAAGCAATTATTGGTTCTAACTTTTTTTTTGAGGTTAAGTAGCTAAGCAGTCCATCCAAGTATAATAATTTGCACAAAATGATTGGGTCTTGGACTTAACGTGTGGAGGTTTGCTAATGAGTTCTCATATTCTTCTTCTGAAGGACGGGACGAAGACTGATCCATTAGAGCATGTAGTTCGTACAGAATCTCATTCCAGCGATGTGACGTGTTGCCGAACCAGACGAAACTTTCTACGAAATGGACAATGGTGGCGCCCTCAAGTGAACAATGCCATGACACAATGGGACAACGTACAATGGTGGAAAACTGGAAATGTAGTTTACTGGTGGTCACGCTATTTATCATTTTATATACTGGCTATCAGATGAGACCGAGTCCGCTGCCTGCCCTAGCATGCCCTGTTCTCACTTGAAAGCCCCATTTGAAGCATAGATTCCACGAAACAGACTAATCTATTATTATTATAAAAATAACACAAGTTTACTAGAAGTCAATGATGCATGACTAGGTTTCATCATCGTTTCATGATGAATGGTTAGCCGCCAAATGCATATTACAGTACCAAATGATAATATTGACAAATACTCCCACCATTGTTTTTGTTTTATGTATTACGTTATTAGAACAAGCTAATTAATTAGTAGGACAAACTGATTGCTAATTAGCTTCTTCTAAACTTCATATATAATTAAAAAGTAAGGGGGCATCTTGTTCATACTCCGTATTAAATTGTTGCCAACTTGACAAGTTGCAACCTTATAGTATGTTTGTTATAAGTAGGATACCCTTTCTTCTCACTATTGTGGTGAGCATTTCTAGAGACCCTAGCTACCCTGCTGAGCTAAGAGATAGAGCATTCACTGAAGCTTACCAAGCTAGAGCAGCAAGCAGCAAATGGAAAGTCGAAAAATGATCTGTGGCTTAATAAAGGCAGATAAATAATATTTGGCTGCTTACAACGAATTTATGCCAGTTTGATTAGTTTGACTTTATGCCTCACATGCAAAAGGAAGAAGAAACGACTATTTGGGTGGTCAAGTTCCAAGTTCCAGCAGCAAGCAGAAGCGAGCAGACCCCCATGTGTTTTATGTCTAAAATATACACAAGCACTCGAGTGAGTATATCTTTTGTAGGCCGTCGTCTCTCGAATTTCCAGCCTTTGATTCATTCTTGCTGCCTCCTACAGCCGTTTTCTTTGGCCAACCATTTTTCTTAAGAAACTAAAAAAAAAAACTGAAAAACGGCCGGTTGTTGGACAATTATTGTTTTACTATCGAGAACTCGATCAAGACTGCAGCAAGGCCCATCCTCCTGGATTGCTTAGCCGCCTTAGAGTAAGCAGGTTGTATGCTAACATGGAGGAGTGAGAAGATGAGAGAGAGAGATGAGAAGCGGGCTGTAAGTTTACAGCCGGTTTAGTCATATAAACTAAGAAACTTTATGAGGGAGATAAATGTGCCATGTATTAATAGTGAACAACCAATTATTAATGGATGGGCTGAAAGATGGCTGCAAGGATCCTATACAGCCATCATTGGGCTATATTATTAGTCTTGCTCTTAGCGCAGTCTAGCTGTATCGATTAATGATGAAGAGATAGATTGCTTAGCCGCCTTAGCGCAGTCTAGTTGTAGCGATAATTGATGATTTTTTTTCAAAATGAAGGAGGAATTATATCTAAATTCGATATATACATCCCAACCTACGTATGAAAAAAATCTAAAATAAAAAAGATACAATATTTTTTCAGAATCTTTCGTTGGTGTGAGACAAATGAATCCTTGCATGGCACCGTATCCTTGCATACCACACTACAAGAATTATGCGTATTAACAACGAGACGATAACGACCACTGATAATATGTGGTCGTCGGCGATCATTTGGCCCAGTCCGGCCTTTAAGTTGGTGCTATAATTTGATCCCGACGACCAAAAAGCTACCCGTGGTTAATTACACGTATAATGTGGTCGTCGGTACTCGGTACAGCTGTGTACCTTAATTACCGGCAGTTGGCAACAAAATAAAACCAGCAAGCGGAAGCCAATTTCTATTGCCCCATGACTTCTTCCGTCTAACCCTAGCAAGTCGAGAACTCCAGGGACGCACGCCGCAGGCGAGGGCCTCGGACTGCGAGACGGCGTGATGGGTACGAGCGCCGGCCTGCCGGATCAGCATTCACGTAAAGACGGGGAGGCGCGCGATCCGCATGTTGTTGCCCAGATGCATCTCGGTGATGGCCTGGCGGTGCACTGGGCAAGATTAATTACAAGATCTCGATCAGGAGCAGCGACCAGGTTCCCTAGTCCATCCTTATATATCAGATCTATAATTTTCAGTTGTATTTTTCTTGGTTGAGAGTCACACGGTGATCTGTTCACATTCTCCTTAGTATAATATTGAATCTAATACTAAATCTGGTCAATGTAATGTTCGGAAAAAATTGCAGTATTTTGTAGAGCGAGTCTTTTTATTTTTGCGTTGAATTTGCTTTGCCTGGTACGTTGATTCGTTGCGTCCCGCCGTGTTATCAATTATCCTCTCATCACTAAAATATTGGACATATCAAAATATCACGCGTCCGCAGCCTACAAGTATAACTTCTATCAGGTTGTTCTAATCACTGCTTTGTTTCTAAACTAATTTGGTACCTCGGCAAAAGTGACCAGCGTTGCAGGGTCTGATGACTGTCTGCTGCTCCTGTGCTATGGTGTCTGGAACCGCCGGTGCTGCACTGCAGTACCTTTCATCACATTAAAGAAAAAAGGTAAAAGGCATGAAGTCTTTACTTAAAAAAAAAGGAATGAATTGTACTTTTCTTGATTAGTAAGAGCGAGATACCAATCCTGCATGTCTTCTCAAACCAATGTGTATTAGGTAATTCCTCGTGCTTGTTTAATGTTAATAACCTAACTTTTTTACTATTTCGTTGTTTCCTCAATACTACTCCATCCATTTTTTTACTTGTCCCATCAGGTTGATTAAGTCAAATATTTTTAACTGTGACAATCAATTTTAAAAAAATAATAATGTAGTTTCATAACATGTGAACTATATATTATGATAGTATTTCTTAAGTCGAATCTTGAAACATAAATCTTATATGTGGTTGATCTACACAAGAATCCTATGACACTCTAGTTATGAGTTGGAAATTCTAATGCAGGATTTATCTCTATGTTGTCGGCATTGAAGGGCATCATGAATCAAGAATATATCAATTGTATGTAATACCTAAAAAGATTTCCATGCCTGTTAGGTTTGTCTTCTTTCTTTTAATCGTAGAATTCTGCAAAGTAGAACTGTAGTACAGTTTCTTTTATGGGTATGCAAGTGATTCGATCTTTTCCTAAACATGCAGGACATCTGGTTACTGTAGCTGGGCTGGTAGAAAAAAATTACAGTCGAAGTTACAAAATCGAGCAACTCAAGAAGGTGATGGGCATAAGAAAGGGTCATATGCATGCTGTTTAAAGACAACATGAATATCCAGGGAACTGTTAAGAATCTCATATTGTAGGAATCAGGTTGGAGAATATTATTAGAAGCATGACAAAGGAATTGTTTGTGAGGAGGGCCAGCTAATTGTGTGCTTGCCTTCGAGCATGACTTTTGCTTCTTTGTAATAGGATTGCTAAGTCACGCAGTATTAGATACATTTGTAATATTAAGAGTTATTTATGAATAATCTGTTGCAAATTTATTTATCATAGATTTCTGGTATGGTGAATGTGCATTTGTATATTGTGCAAAGTGGTGGCTCACCCTATAAAAATTGGTGTTAGCCAATGTGAAATACAAGCATAAATATTGTCCTAAAAGTTTAGAAAATGGTCGTTGTTACTAAAAAATGGTCGTTAGTACTTCATGCCAGATGGTATAAAAAATATTAACGATAGAAAATGTGGTCGTTATTACTATAAATGTGGTAGTTATTAGTGTAGTATCAACGACCATATATTGTGTGGTCGTTGAAAAGTTAACAACGGGAAAAATTGTGTGGTCGTTAATTGTATTAACGACGGAGCTTTTAACGACCATGGACGACCACACTTTTGTGATCGTTAATAACTTTTAGCGACCACATTTGGACTTTTAACGACCACATATCCTGTCGTTAATACCACTTTTTCTTGTAGTGCCAACGTGTTTAGCCCTTGATTGATTGGCGTGTACTGTTTTGGCAAGTCTGGCCTTGATTGATGTTTGCTTTCTATCCACCGAACAATGCTTCTATGAGTCGGTTGGATATAGAAGCTATAGTATATACATGTACACGACACTTAGGATTGAATATACATAATTTCTATCGCCTATCATGGTATCGGCTGCCGCATCCTGCGACCTACTCTAGCTCTCGACCTACTCTAGTCGCTCCGTAACAAAATGGAGAGAAACTTGCCCCGATATATAGACTAGAATATATATTTTCCAAACTCCAGCAAGGATTCGAAGTCGGAACATGCTGCGCAAAATGCGTTGTTATTAAATATAAGCCAGTTGCCTAATCCTCCAGTAAGTTAAATTTCCGAACTCAAATACACCGACTTCGTTCAGTAAAGATGACGTTCTTACCTAATCATCCAGCCCGAGGACGCCCAATCTTATCACAGAGAATTAAAAAGTGGCCTTTTTGTGCGCTCATCTAGGCGGCAACATCCGTTGAAGAAGACCGCACGACTTGGAGTCCGATTTGGTCGTCCCCCCATGTGTGCACGCCACCGTTACCTAGTCCACCACGAGTCTCCGTCGTGGTATGAATACTGGTTGCGTAGGTGCCGGGGCACCCGAGTTCATGTTGCTCCCTGCCTCCCTCTATATAAGCAGGGTGCATTCTGAAGCGCCAACTCACTGCATCTCTGATATCTCAGCTCCTGCAGCATTGCCTGGCAAAGTGGCAAGCAAGGAACCGCAAGCCATGGCGTCTGTTCCGAAGCTTCTCCTCCTGAGCCTCCTCTTTTTTCTCAGCTGTCGCTCTCACATTGCTCACGCAGGTGATGATGGTAGCTACAAGGTTCTGTCCATTGGCTTTCAGTCTCTGAGGACTGCGTCCGTCTGTTCCGAGTCCACAGGTGCAGTACTGTCCGTGCACGCACCAGCAGTTTCCTTTCCACTTGGTTGATTATTTTGTGCACAGTTTTACCAATATATGACAATCATTTCCCTTGCTTTGATGGTTCCAGCGGTTCGGTCGTCGTCCGGTGCCGCCACGGTGCCGTTGCATCACCGTCACGGCCCATGCTCGCCGTTGCCGTCCAAGAAGATGCCAACTTTGGAGGAGAGGCTCCACCGCGATCAGCTCCGAGCTGCCTACATCCAGCGGAAGTTCTCCAGCGGCGTCAAGGGCGGCCGCGGCAGCGCTGGTGACGTCCAGCAATCGGACGCCACCGTGCCGACGACCCTGGGCACCTCCCTGAACACGCTGGAGTACTTGATCACCGTACGCCTCGGCTCGCCGGGCAAGTCCCAGACCATGCTCATCGACACCGGCAGCGACGTGTCATGGGTGCAGTGCAAGCCATGCTCGCAGTGCCACTCCCAGGTGGACCCACTCTTCGACCCCAGCTCGTCGAGCACGTACTCCCCGTTCTCCTGCAGTTCCGCCGCCTGCGCGCAGCTCGGCCAGGAAGGCAACGGCTGCTCCAGCTCCCAGTGCCAGTACATTGTCACGTACGGCGACGGCTCGAGCACGACCGGGACCTACAGCTCCGACACGCTCGCGCTGGGCTCCAACACCGTCAGGAAGTTCCAGTTCGGGTGCAGCAACGTGGCGTCGGGCTTCAACGACCAGACCGACGGGCTCATGGGGCTCGGCGGCGGCGTGCAGTCGCTGGTGTCACAGACGGCGGGGACGTTCGGCTCGGCCTTCTCGTACTGCCTCCCGCCGACGCCGAGCTCCTCCGGGTTCCTCACGCTCGGCGCCGGAACTTCGGGCTTCGTCAAGACGCCGATGCTCAGGAGCAGCCAGGTCCCCACGTTCTACGGCGTGCGCATTCAGGCCATCAGGGTGGGCGGGAGGCAGCTCAGCATCCCCACCTCGGTCTTCTCCGCCGGGACGGTCATGGACTCCGGCACGGTCCTCACGCGGCTGCCGCCGACGGCGTACTCGGCGCTGTCGTCGGCGTTCAAGGCCGGGATGAAGCGGTACCCGCCGGCACCGCCCAGCGGCATCCTCGACACTTGCTTTGACTTCAGCGGCCAGTCCAGCGTCAGCATACCGACCGTCGCGCTAGTGTTCTCCGGGGGAGCCGTTGTCAACCTCGACGCCAACGGGATCATGCTGCAGACCAGCAGCAGCATCCTCTGCCTCGCCTTCGCGGCCAACAGTGACGACAGCTCCCTCGGCATCATCGGCAACGTGCAGCAGCGGACGTTCGAGGTGCTGTACGACGTCGGCGGTGGTGCTGTGGGGTTCAAGGCTGGGGCGTGCTGATCGTGATCGGCGTAAGGACGTCGTTGACGATACCGGGACTACGTACTGCACGTACTCGTTTGTGGTTGCGAGTGCGAGGTAACAGACATGGAAGTGCAAAACCATTAACTATACTATACTTGGATTTTAATTGTCTTTGCGATAATTGTAATTTATCCTGATTGATAATTGTAATTTATCATGATCGATAATTATAAATAAAAGATTAATGATATACTCCGTATTATGTTGCTCTTGGTGTGATTGGTACCAACTATGGATGTCGATGACTATGGTATATACATACTCAGCATATTCGCTTGTTGGTTTTAGCCATGATTTATCAGCCAGCCAATATTGTTTTTCTCTCACAACAAATCAGCACCAGCCGGACTTATCAGCCCAGAAACCAACCAGCTAACAGGCTCGGTCTATGGACACTTCAAAATTGTTTCATCGTGTCTTTTGGGCGAGCTACTCCTTATATATTTCATTTTAACTCTACAGACCTCGCGAGGTTCTCGCCCAGAAACCCTGTCCACGTCGTCCTGAATGTTTCCAGCCGTCCGATCCGCGACCGTGTGACCCAGATTTGTTGAATCGGATTCTGCATGGAACAGCTTCCCGTGGTTCTCGTTGGCATCTGCCGCTTCTCCTCTGCTTCTCCCGCTTCTCAGCTTCCGCTTCTCCTTCAACCAAAAAAAAAAAGCCGCATCTCTCCCGTCCTCTCTCTGGTCTCTCCCGAGGGTTCTTTCCCGAGCCGGTCCTCGGGGCAGCGGAGGCCGCCCTCCTCCCTCCTCCTTCCTCCCTCTCCCCCGTCCTCTCCCTCTCTCCCGACGTGGTGGTGTGCCAGCCAGCCCGAGCGACGCCGGATGGCCGCGCGGCGCGCTGCCGGGGCGACGCCTCCCCGGCCTGCGGCGCAGCACCGCGCGTGGGCCACGATGGTGGCCGTCGCCACGGAGCGCCGCGACCCCGCCACGCCGGTGGCCGCCAGCGCGGGTTCCCTCAATGCTGCCTCCTCCCACCGGTACGAAACCCTAGCTGCCTCTTCGGCGGCGGCGGTGAAGCTCGCCACAGCGAACGACAGCAGCCACGCGGTAAGAAACCCTAGCTGATGGGGGCTCCACTGGTCACCGATTCCCAAACCCTAATTTTTAGGACACTGCTGTTAGTTTTGTTTCCCTTTATCAAGATTTTCCGTATATATTCATGTCCAGCAGAATTTTGGTCGTGCAGTATGGAAAGATAAGAGATGGTTAGTGTTGTAGTTGGGATTTCGAAAAGCAAACCTATTTTTCAGTGAGCTTGATAGTTGATTCAGTCCATTTTTCAATTTGTCCTGCCTAGGAAGGTACAGTTTTTAGGTTCAATTTGATAGTTCTCTAATGACAAAGAAAGGCGAGCACAACACGATATATGAGCATGTATGTAATTTTCCTATTTTTCCTTATTGGTACATGCTTTGCTTTTCGACATAATGATTAGTGGCTCCATGTACATCATAGGTCCTTAGCTTTTAGCCTCCAGAAAAGATACCTGCTCGTATGTTGAAACAATATAGATCAATGCATTAGTGTGAAATGTTCAGAGATGGATGCACTGCTATGAACTGTTCGGTGGACAGCTTTTCAAATAACACTGAATTGCTCCATCTTGTAGGGTCCATTTTTCAGAAAAGTGTAGGTTGTGCAAGGTTTCTCATAGAGTTGTGTGATGATCTTCGAGCACATGCTTCGACTCATTTGCAATGCCATCCTTGATGGTCATTTATGAAAGTTTGGTGTCTTTTGTCTTCTTTAAGAATAAGAGGTTGCTATGCTCTTTCTTTTTCCCTGGCGGTGCAAATTTATAGCTATGTACTACACATTGGTTCGGCAAAAGTCATGGTACATGTTATTCAAGGTCGATGATTAGTGGTTCCTACCTTTTTTTTGCAACAAATAATTATATAGCATGCTGAGTGATTGTGGATTGTAAAAAAAAATTAATGTTGTTTTGTGTTTCCATTTCATCATGTAGAAAAAAAGGCATTAGCAATGTTTTGTGTTAGGTTCCATTTGTTAAACATGTTGACATTAGCATTATTTTGTGGTAGGTTCATGTTTAACAAGTCAGAGAAGACAGTGTCAATTCAATTGACCAGGTAAGTTACTGAATAATGTTCAGTGGTAGTTGTGCATAAAAAATAGTTCTTTACAATCTGATTGCTTTTTTTTCTTTGTCTTTTGAAAATAAAATTGTTGCACCACTTCATCATTGTTGGTGTAGGACTGGCGCTGCTCCAGCGCTGACAAGTGCCTCCACAGATGCTCCCCTACACAACTAACAGGTAGGCTCTGCCTTCAGTTTTATGAAGATTTGGAATTAACTGCAATCCACATTCTCTATCTTTACTACCATCCTAACCTCACTCTATCTACAAATTAAATAGATAAGGAGATGTGGTATATTTTTGTGAATGCCAAAAAGACATGTGTTTGATTTTTATAATGATAGAAGATATGCATTTGCTGTCTAGCTCAAAAATACATGCACCTGCTGTCACTGCTTTTCATAAGGTCTTCCCCATTTCCAATAACACAATGGATGTACGAGTTGCACAGACTTCTTGAACAGACAGCAAATAGAAGAACAACACTATGAAATTGTCTGAAACCTTCTCTAAACCTGTCACTTGTGGTGCTATCATTGATGAGGTTTAGATTGGAAGTTGTATAACCTGTTTCTTCAGTTGCAGTTAGTATGTTTTCAAGTAAGTTAGTGTTGTAATTTTTTACAAGTTGGCTTGGAAGAACTTTCTGGCTACATTTTAGGCATTCTGTAATTTTGTGCCACCAACATTGGCTTATTTAGTAATTTCTGAAGTTAGAGACCATACTCAGAATTTGAAATCTCTTAAGTTTTTTTTTTTGAAAAAAAAACTCTAAGGTTATAGACCATATTAAGAAATTCAAGGATCTGACATTTTGAAAAAAGAAATTAAAGGATATACAGGACTTCTGATCCTCTGTGCCATTATCTGAGAATTCTTGTGTGATTATCTGAGAATACCATTATAAAGTTATAATGATTCTTGTGATATGCTATTATTAAATCTACTGATAGGCCAGATGAAAAGAATTGTAGTTGCTTTTGACCAAGTCATTCTGGGATCTAACTTTATTTTTTTTCTTAATAATTTTTGAAAATGACTGAAGCTAAGTGCTAATGAATCGTTTTATAATCAATTGCCTAGCTGACGAAAACGATAATTTACTTAAAGAAATCTGAGCTAAAACTGGGCATTCGTGATTTTAGTGATCCTTTCAAACCATCATATACGGTGTATGCTAAATACACAACTGTCAGTGTCACTATGTACTCCAGTGGCTTAGTCAGGATGTTTCTGAAAGCCTATCAGTAACCTGTGTGGCTGCATGTGTTTTGGTGTGAAGTCAAACCATATTTCATTTTGGCAATATTGTATACTTTATCTTAATAACTGAAGTCAAACCGTGCTGCAGCTCCTTCGAATCGGACACCAACAGTAAGGAGCTACAACATCGACAGATCATTCTTGTGACTCCAAAGGTGATCTTTGGTTTCAAATTCAAATTCACATATATCTTATCCCCTAATTTAATTACTTTTTGAGTAACAAATGGATTTGGAAATGTTGGCCTCACACCAAGTGCCTGAGAAAATGCCTTCACAGAATTTGGAAATGTTGGCTTGACACCAAGTGCTTGAGAAAATGCCTTGATGGAACATATGAACTATAAGCCTTAACTGATTCATAGAACTGAGAAGAATACTTTCTTAAACTAAACTAACTATTTTTCTTAAACTATACGTTTATTGGGCAGTAAAACAAACTAATTTTTATATTCTTAAACTAAAAATATTTTAGGCCAGAAATTCTTTTGTTTCAGTTTGATATGGTTGTGTTAATTACTGTTAACTTTTCTACCAAGTTAACAGTAAATGGCTTCACACCAAGTTGTTGAGATGAGTTTTCATTTCATTTCAGTTAGGGGTGGGCTCATTGAATTGAAGAGAAAAACTACGGACTGCCATAGGTAGGTCACTCCCTTTCACACTGTTAAATTTCGGTAGTCGTTGCTGGTGGGGTTAGTGATGCTGAGGTATGCTTGTTTCTGTTTTTACAGAGAAGATCAAGGTCGAGCAGGCACAAGTGATCTCATGGCAAAAACTGCATCAATGAATTTCACTTTTGTCATTGTGTGTTCATTTAGAACAAAGTCAATGCAGATATCTTACTAACCCTACATATACCATGTTTGTTGTTGTCAGCTGAAAAAGAGGCGAGCCAATGCAGTGGCCATGCACACCAATGCCATGAGAGTTGCACAGCTGAATCATCCTTGAGCTGTATTTTATGTTCATGCTTATTCTCTTGCAATTTAAAATATTTGTTCTTTGCTGGCAAATGGCAGCCACCTCAGACATTTCTCTATGGTCTATGGCTTATCTATCTTCTAGACACCAGTCATTCAGTCTTATGCACACCATCTAATTCTTTTAAAAATATTTTATAGAGTTGCTTGCTTCTAAACATTAATAACCGCTGTCTAGACCATAGAGAAATGTTATATGGAGACCGGTAGCATTCCTTATTATCTACAGCCACCTGAGAAGTTTAAATATAATAATGTTCTTGGGTTGTGTTAATTGTTTACTATATCAAATTGCAATAATAATTTGTCAATTTGGTTATATGATTGCTGAAACTTAAGTTTCTGGTTACAGGTACATGCTACATTTCATCAATATTGCAGTCCGTATCCTATCCACGCATGCTCTGCTTGTATCAGGCTTTAAGGTAAGATCAAATTTACTGCTCGAATCATGCATTGTGAATTTAGTTATTTTCATCAATGTTAATGTTGTTTGATTCATTAAACACTTCGTTTAATGAGGATTTGTCCGTGATATATCCACATGCTTTATGCACAAACGATGTGCAGGTATATTCAGCAAGTTATCCGGGATATCCTTTGTAATGATCGGTTAAATTAATGTAATCTGCCTTTAAAAAAAAAAGCAAGTTATACTCATTTGGATTTGTGATGTGCATGGGTAGCAGCATGAACTTTGAATTGGCTACCTGGTTGATTCATTGGCTAACATAATTTAAATATTTGTTAGGGTTCATGCTCAAATATATAGCAGCAGAGTTTCACTGGAGCATACAACAGTTCCAGACGTACTGTATATAGGAAAAACAAGAGCTCTCTATTGCATGAAGATGGACATATAAGACAGACTGATGTGACTCTATTTTTCTTCTTTTCAGCAAGCTTTACCCACTTTTTATACCTAAAGGAAAATTGTTTGCACAGATGGGGGAAGAAGCTTCATTGACAGAAAGTTGTTTGAGTAACCTTGGAGTTGCCTTAGTGGATTCTGTCAAGAAACTGCCTTTTGATTCCAAGAGAAGCAACAGCTGCAACTTTTCTGGTGCATCTTCCCACTCCATGGAGAGGCATCAATATTTGCAGAGAGGAATATCATTATTAAAGACAAGTGTTACAGCCATGACTACCTACTATTATAACACACTGGCCTTGGATGTGCCATCCAATCTTTTTTACTTTCGAGGCTTTTGCTAAGTTGGTCCACATGTTATCGTCATCAATTGCTCTTCGAGCTGCTCTTCAATCGAACATTGCTTCAAGGTACCTACTGTTTCATAGTAAAACATGCATATCTGTGTTCCAATATTCTTGGTTGTCTTAAGGGTTTTAAAAAAGCTGACAGTGTCTACTGCTTCTAGGTTAGAGAAGCAAGCGAAAAAGCTAAACATACTTTAAAAAAAAGCTAAACAGATCGAATTCGAATGCAAGTTCCGCCATAACATCAGACATCAGTTTTATAGACAGCATGCACACAATCATCATGGTAAATTCTTATTTTGCTCTTACTTACATTGCGTGTAAACTTTAATTTTCATTTTCATGGAATCTCTGTTCTTGTCAGCCAAGCACTCTGGACAATCTCAGCTTCTTGTACACCTGGTAAGATGGTAAGCTGATGAAGCATGGTGACATGCCCGATTGCATATTTGACGGTTCGGATCTGGTAGAGCATGAGGTCCCACCGCCACTGCACACAGCAAGTTGAAAAGATGTCGCGCAATGGGAAAGAGCTAACTCTTTAAATCCCAAAGCAGATCACAGCGATAAAGAAGGTAGCAGCTTGAACCTTTGGCAAAGAAAAATGCCCAAGATCTGCAGAGGATCATACAGAACAAATAACCATGGAATCAGTTTCTAAGCCTGCTCATTGTATAATATCCAGGCTGTTGCACTTATATCTATCGTTAGTTAGTACTATTGCAAACTTAAACACCCGGTCTCCAGCCTGTCGACTGTATAATATCTAGGCTATTATGACATCAAGTACTATTTGCCAGTCAGTCAACAAGAAACATATATGCTACCCGTACTAATATGATATGCATGGAACCAGATATCCAATTATCGTCTTCCATTTCTACAACTCAGTATCCTTCAGTCTCCTGAACATAACGCTTTGGTGTCGCGCGCCTTCGCGCGCCCTTCACTAGTTACAAGAAGAGAGACCTCGCGTCCGTATCTAATGAACGCTCAGAATCGAAGATAGTTATTCAGTGAACATTCACACTAAATAATTAAACTTTTAACCAAATAGTTTAGAACATTGACTCGAATTTTAAATTTCATTCCGGTGAAGATCCAAACTTCCAACTCTTTTCTCTTGTAACCTTCAGCTCAACGATTCAAATGTTCCCTAGTTAAATGACTAGCGAATACATATGTAATAGAGTAGAAGCTAGAACATTGTCAGATGACTTTACCAGCTGTGATTATGGAGGGCTGCACAGATAGCAAATCTTGATGGTAGCATATGGGACACGATATTTGTACTGGAAAGGATATCCTACGTCTAGTATGTGTAGTTGTATTGCTGGTCTGCCAGGTGCGGGATGTATGATGAGATGATGACGTATGCCGACGAGGCTCTATATAATGTGGACCATGATGGCCATTTGTAATTGTCTACGATGATTGGGTTGTCCAAAATCTCGATCTGACCCCGTATATAGTCCGGGGCAGGGTTATAACTTATATAGTTGGTTTCCTTTCCTATCATGGTGTTCGGTTACAATAAGGTTTCCTGAGATATCGAGGATTGTATCTAACTATATCTTGTTCTCTATGTCAGTGAAGATACCCCAAGTAGATGCAGGACTCCGAGTAGTCGGCCCGGTTCACCCTGTGTCCTGGGAAGCGCCGAAGCAGCTATGTTCTCCATAATGATAACCGAGGGTCATGCCTCGCCACTGTACAGTCCAAGAGTACATGCCTGATCGATTCTTCTGGCTCCCCACAGACCTCACAGAAGGCCTCCGGTTCTATGTGCCTTTTGACAAAACACGCCACCAGAACACTCTAATTTTGGGAGGGACCTCCAGCTTCCAATTTTTTTTTCCATATAGCATCATCAGAAGAGCTAGGTAAATGGCCAAAGGATTCTTCCCATTTCCTCCTGTATATAATCTTGTATGCCGAGCGGACAGAATAAATCCTAGAACGCTCTGGTTCCCACGCCCAAAAATCACCATCTCCTCGCCCCAGCGGCTGTCGCAATATAGCTGCTGCATCAATTGGCAACACCAGTGCTCTCACTGCCTCAACATCCCAGGATCCGCTAGTTGTCAGCTGTTCAGAAACCAGATTCGGATGCCCGGCAACTCTTGGTGTGATTGGCCTAGCATCAAAGTGGTCTGCTATCCATCGATCACCCCAAATAGCAGTAGAATCTCCATCGACCACCCTTCTGAGCAGACCCCGCTGTAGTACGTCTTGGCCTGCTAGGATCGCCCTCCACATACTGCTCGCGTGCTTTTTCCGGGTAGTCCTCAAGAACTCCGTGTCATGATAATAGCGCCCTTTAAGAACTCTCGCACAAAGTGAGTTTGGTCTCGTGATGAGGCGCCGACCTTGCTTTCCAAGCATTGCCAAGTTGAAACTCCTCATGTCCCGAAAACCCATGCCTCCTTTGTGTTTCGGTTGATTAAGACGCTCCCAACTCATCCAATGCATGTGCCGGTTATCAGCAGAGCTACCCCACCAATAATTGGCCACATCACTTCTCATCTTGTTGCATATATTGAGAGGTAGAAGAAAGCAACTCATAGAATAAGTGGGTACCGCCTGGGCAATTGATTTAATCAAAACCTCTCTACCTGCACAACTTGCCTCACGTCCGCACCAACTTTCGGTATTCAAAACAGTCGCTCAAATTTCTTCCTGCCTCCGTGGGTAGTCCCAGATAGCGTTCAGCCGGGCTTCCTTTTGGATATCAAGCCTCTGACTGACCACTTGCTTCATCTCCGTAGGACAGTTTTTGCTGAAGAATATGGCTGATTTATCCCGATTTACCAACTGTCCGGATCCACGATGATATCTGTCCAGAATCTCTACCAGTCTGTCAGCCCCTCCTTGCGATGCTTCAGAAAATACTATGCAGTCATCCGCAAAGAGCAGGTGCGATATCCAGGGGGAGTGAACTCCAACTCTTATACCCCTTGATATGTACACTGGACCAACAGCTTTCAGCATACAAGATAAACCCTCAAAGCATAGTAAGAATAGGTATGGGGAAATGGGGTCCCCTTGCCTGATTCCTCTAGATGGTCTGAAGGTATCGGTCAACACGCCATTGATTTTGATAGTGAAACAAACTGTTGTTACACACCTCATAATACGGTTCACAAAATCAGCATGAAAACCAAGTTTTAGCATGATCCTTCTAAGATACTACCACTCTACACGATCATACGCCTTGGCCATGTCCAATTTCACAGCACACACTCCAGATTTCCCTTTCTTCCTTTTCAGATAATGGATGCACTCATAAGCTATGAGTACATTGTCTGTTATCAAGCGTCCAGGCACAAAGGCGCTCTGCTCTTCTACAATAATATCATCTAAGAATTCACGCATTCTCATAGCCAGAACCTTTGAGCATAACTTATACAGAACATTACATAAAGAAATAGGTCTAAATTCTTTCATAACCTGAGGATTTCTTGTCTTGGAAATTAAAATAATGGTAGTAAGGTTAATATCATCCGGCATACCTCCACCATTGAGAAAATCCAACACCGCTGTTGTGATCTCGTTGCCCATCAAATCCCAGTGTAACTGGTAAAAGCCAGCTGTAAATCCATCTGGCCCCGGGGCTTTGCTCGGCTTCATAAGTTGCAAAGCTTGATCAACCTCCGCAGCTGAGTAGGGCCGTAGCAGCCGGTCATTCATCTCAATCGAGACCTTGGGAAACACGTGATCAAGCACCAGGTCCGGCAACAACTCTTCCTGGGCCGAGAAGAGCTGGCGGTAGTAGTTAGTAGCGATCTCCTCTATTTCCGCCTGCTCCGTTGCCATCGACCCATCTTCTCTTCGCAGAGCCATAATTGTATTCCTCTTGGCCCGTGCTCGTGACTTGGCTTGAAACATCGCCGTATTGCGATATCCATCCTTAAGCCAATCAAGACACGCTCTCTGTCTTTCCATAATTTCTTCTCTTGATAGCATTTCAGACATCCGCGCCATAATTTGTCGCTCGTGTCTAGAAGGTCCAGAGCCCAGCGATTGCCCTCGGACTTCCTCCAGCTCACGCCTAAGAGTTGCCAACGCCTTCCGCACCGAGCCAAAGATGTCCTGCTCCCAGGTCTGTAGCGAGGACTGCACACCTTTCAGCTTTGTGTGCATGTCTCCCAATCCAGTAGCTCCTCCATTCGATGACCAAGCATCACGGATAAGAGCCATGTAAGAAGGGTCACACTGCCACATGTTTTCATAGCGAAAATTTTGCTTCGTCTTCTCCTGTTCAAGGAGTGTTCCAAGCATTCTACCACCAGTGCACAGTGGTCTGATATTGTCGTTTGAACATGCCAGACCTTAACTTCGCGGAACAAGTCAAGAAAGTCATCATTTGCCAACCCCCGGTCCAACCCAACCTTTATGTTGTGAGCATCATCTTGCCGGTTGCCCCAGGTGTACGGTAGACCAATGAAGCCTAGGTCCGTGAAGCCACACACTGCTACTGCTTCTCGGAAACCCTCCATCTGCCGTTCACTTCTTCCAGCACCCCCAAATTGCTCGTTGGCATGCAAAGTCTCATTGAAATCCCCTACACAGAGCCATGGCAGTGAGCTGCGACCCTTGAGCATCTTAAGACAATCCCAACTCCTATATCTTAACTCTCTCCTCGCCTCACCATAGAAACCTGTGAAGCGCCACTTTTCCCCGTTTGTCATTGGATCAAGCACCGCCACATCTATATGAAGCTTGTCAAGACTTTGGAGCTTTACACAAACTTCATCTTTCCACAACAGTGCAAGTCCGCCACCTCTTCCATTGGTTCCCACGCCTAAACCATGCGCAAAACCAAGTGATCTTAACAAAACATCCACCCTATCCGAGAAGAAACGAGTCTCAGACAAGAAAACCACCACCGGGCGATGTAGCTCACAAAGGCTACGGAGGCCGCAAACTGCCTCGGGTTGCCCTAAACCCCGGCAGTTCAAGCTTGTGTCAGGAATATCATGCTCTGATTATGATTG